AACGGCACAAGCGTAGCTGCCTCTGCGTACAGATTGCCAACAACAACAGGACTGCATGATAGCCATGCTGCGAGCACATGGATCTTCTCGGGAAAATTTTAACGTGGCAATTTTAACTATTCGATTTTTTATGAGGATCCACGCCGCGAGTTTGCACTTGATGGAAAAATTTTACTATGAAATATATTTCTTAGGTCGCAGTCCATCGAAAGTCGTGCGCGAGGAGCATCATCGTACTATAAGAGACTTTTGCAGTGAATTTCTTTCACATAATTGAGAACACGAGTACGCACGAGGGCGGCTCGGCGCCGACTGTCAGTTTCTCCCTCACGAAATTTCCTCCTCCGGAGTTAGCTCGTCGTGCAAAAAGCTCACCGGCGGCGACGCCTGCGCAATTGTCTATAATACCCCATCGTCTACGAGGTACTTTTGTCCCCGCGAACACGATCTCCACGTTGACACGTATTGTATTACCAGAAGAAAAACAGAATTGAATCGAGAAAGTGAGGTTTCTTATATATACTCGCAAGATATGCGGCAAAACATTCTTTTCTTTCTCCTTCGACTGATAATGAGAAAACTTATTTGTGCGAATAAAGTTTTCATCCCGGTTTCCCCAAGATTTTTCTTTTATAATCATCTGACCAATATCACTCTCGATCGAATTACATTAACAGGGTGTATATATATTATGATAAGTTATACGATTGTTCGATATTTGACGAATAGAAAACAAAAAGGGGTCTATTTTTAGAATTTTTGCAAGAAAATGCTTAGCAACAACGGAATCCGAACATGTTAACATGTATAATTTTAATCTTGGAAACGTATTATTTTTAATCGTGCCCCAGATACGTTTTCTAAGATTAATAATAAGCAACGCGTTACAGAAATAAAACAATATATGTATATGTATCAAATTTTCTTTAATATTACGAAGTTTATAACAATCACCAATACACACAAGGCTTTAACTTTATCGAATTATATAACTTCGTTGAAATGATGTTCACCGATGTTACGAGGTCGAGATATAAGCATCGATCTTTATGGTGTGGCTTGTTTGCCCGGTTACTATTTTATCGCCAGTGTTTCACATCTCTTGTCACTAAAATTTCACCAATTCGCTGTTTTTTCTTCTTTTTTTTTTTTTTTTTTTTTTTTTTTTTCAAAAATTTAACCTCGATTTTTTTTTCTATTATTTATATACATGATTATATTCTCTTGTTTTCATACATACACTTTTCATGGTAAAAATTAATTGGCTAATAATATAAACAAGGGCGAGATTTTTCTATATAATTATCAATCTAATTTAATAGATATACTCGTCGAAGGAAGAACCTGACAAGGAAAGATTTCTGACGTCATTCGACCACAAGAGAAACTATATTACTCACGATCCAGGAGTCAAAGCGGCATGAGACAATCCGAGCTGAGTATTTAAAGTTTATTCCGAGGTCAGGTCGAATATGATAGAAAACATATTTATATTAGGATTCGCTGAAATTTCAGAAAAGTCCGTTGTGACGAAACGCGATATATAAGATATTACATAGAGATTTATTACATTACTTATTTTAATGTAATTAAAAAATTCGACTTTTTATTATTATTATTATATTATTAT